TGCATACATATATACATATGTCAATACATATAGACACACACACAAACATATACACCCACCCACCCACACACACATATACCTATATATAGATATATATTCATATAGATATACACAAACATATGCATGTATATATATATACATATGCATATACATATACATATACATATACATACATACACACACACACATACACACACACACACATACACACACACACACACACACACACACACACACATACACACACACACACACACACATATATATATATATCTATAGTTTTATAAAGAATCATGTATAGACATATGGAAATCTTCATATGTAAAATCGAAAGCACAATGATAGTGTACATGTAGAAGTAGCGAGTAAATTCAATGTGTTAACTTGTTACAGTTATATATATATATATAGTTTAGCACGACTACTAGGCTGGAGAGTCACTCACTAAAAATCAGTGGATTAAAAGCTCTCAAAACAGTTGTATTGGCTTGTGATTTCAAATATAAGAAATTTTGGCTCGCGCGGAAGAAATTAAGAAAGGAGAATTGGCCATCACGTCGAAGTGCGTTGCTATGGATAACAGAATAGTCTTTAAATCTGTTTACACACTTTGCATCGAACACTTCACACCACTTCACACCATATATTCACCATAAGATAATAATCGACATTTGACACCACATCATATACATAAGTCCGGATACAAGCAATTTAGTCTCGAGCAGAGATTGGTTATTTGTTCGCATACAATACTATATTGAAAACGAGGCGGGTCACTATTTTGTTATATAAAATGGGTATATGAAGCGGTGAGCATACCATCATAGGACAATTCTACTTCACTATGGATATTCTTCGAGTCGCTCATGTCGAGTTATGTAAAGGTTGATTCAATGCAAAGTTCTACGCTATTCCCTCTAGTATAGCACAAGCAATTGAATAAGTTATACAACAGCAGACTCGTCCGGTTTATACTGTGTATCAAAAGCCTTTGGCAACACCAACTCCAAGTTACCAACTCGTCTCTCTCACAAGAGTCCAAGAGTCCAACCAAGTTCAGACGAACTTCAGAAATCAGAGTTCAGAGTTCAGAGTTCAGAAGTTCAGCCTATTTAGGTCAATGAACACCTGAGGCTATTGGTATCCAAATCCAATCAATACCTTTCAAATTCTTACTGTCTATGGCAAAAGTCTTATTTTCTGTGGCAAAAGTATTACTTTCTGTGGCAAATGTCTTACTTTCTGTGGCAATTTCTATTGGGGTTTTATACAGTATCCCCTGATTTTTATTGATTTAAATTTTTATGACCTGTTTTACTTTGCGCACGTGACCGTGTGGCGTCAGGCGTGAGCAATGCTACCAGCTCCAATGGTCCCTTCTATTTCAATGCTTGCCAATAACTAATCCTGAATAGTAATAACAGTTTATGTCATAGCCTACTACTAAATAAAAACATTTATGCGCTATTCAAAAGGTTAGCGGGTAGTATATTTGAGGGGTTGTCGGTACTTTACCTGAGGCGGGAAATTGGGAACTCGTGTTATCTCTGGTCAGTGGCACAGTGCTGCATCGATATATTGTATTTAGAAAAAAAAAACGGTTCATTTGGTGTTCATTTTGTGAAGTTTTTAGAAACATAAGTATAGCTGCGGCGGGGAATAAACGGGAAATGGTGCTTGCTGCGGATAAGAACACGGAGTGCCCACAAGCCACAAAGGGGAGTAGTGAAGTGCCTGCACATGGATGTGAGAATAGTGCGGAGTAGGGCACTCACTCACTCGTTCAGTGTGTAGAGTGGTGCCAAAAGAGTTGTCATTACTAGCGAGATGGCAGGCTACTGCTTGCTATTGTACACGAGCAGTCATTAGTGTAGGAGACACGGCAGCAACGAGTGATATACACACTGTCGTATGATTCAACTTAGCAGAACGTTCCTGCTGTACGGTGATGTGCACTGCTTGGTATAGTGTTGGTATATGATAAGACTTGGGATGAAGATGGGTTACGTGTATTATACAGACAAAACCTCGTAAGATCCAAAAGTTAATTTTAGAATCCAGTTTGTACATCGTTCCTGATATGCCGTATGACATTTTTGCCAACGCAGCAGAAAGGAATCCGCAATAGTATCAGCCCTAAAGGAGCTACATATTTGGTCTTACAAGTAAACAGAGCAATAAAGTAGTAGCACTAAACGAGCTACATATTTGATCTTTCAAGTAAACAGAGCAACAAAGTAGTAGCACTATACGAGCTAAATATTTGATCTTTCAAGTAAACAGAGCAACAAGTAGTAGCACTATACGAGCTACATATTTGGTCTTTCAAGTAAACAGAGCAGCATAGTAGTCTCGAACACATCATTCATAGATACTGAACCCGCCTATCTCTCATCTGGTCGTGCTGCCCTTTTAAAGTGTACCGGCTTTCCCCCTCCACGGTGCAATAGAGTAGTAAGGCGTATCGAACCTATCAACCACCTCCTAACTGTTCAAATGCGACGCACTATGCGTATCTGTGTAGGTATAGTTAGTCCCTCTACCGCCTCAGCGTACACAGACGCTTGCTGGCGGAGAGGAACCTACGGGCAGGTCACAAGGCCCCCCCAACAGTATTTTAATCGATAACATTTCTACTGACAGACACTCGTACGTGTACTACCAACTACATATGTTGCCAGTTATTCCTAAATTATATATCTATTTCAATCGCGTTAACCTATTGATGTCCTTATGTCGAGAACCATTTCTTCTCCAGCGATGATCGCGCCAGCTGTGACTCGTTGGCCGAGAAGTTCAGGATGGTAGCCAGCACCGGCACTAATTGCTTCCGCTGTGCACGTAAACAGATCAGACATGGTCAGAAATTCAAAGCATATAGCAATGGCAGACGGATCGGTTTAAACAAGCACAAGTACACACACAGGGTTATGTGCACATAAAAAAATCAGACGTAAACATTCGCGCAAACGTACGAGGCGATAAACTGTTCGTGCGTAGTGCAGGCTACCAATTGCGGTCGCCGCAGTACTGTGTTATAAACGAAATAAGCACACAGTGTTACGATCACCTTGGAGTCGGTAGGTAGGTACTCGAGTGATACGCGATTTAGATGCGCCTGGACAAGGTTGGACTACAGCTGCACATAAATGCGCCCTAATACAGGCATGTATCCATAATAAAGCCCGAAAGAATATACTTCTAGAATCCAAGTGATTGCTAGTTTAGCACAGCGTCAAGCAACATACCATTTTCGACATACGTAATGAGCCATCAAATACTACCCTTAACCCTAAACCCCAAACTCTAAAACCCATACATGACAGCATGGAGCATGGTGTGCAACAACTACCGCAAGGGCAAAGCCAACGTGGCATGTTAAGTCCGATACACAAGAGATCAATACACGATACACAGTCTCTCCATTCCCCTCCTCGCAACTACATCCCCTACACTACCCAGCCAGACAGTATACCTACCTGGTTTCCCTTAAAAAACCCCAAACCCTAAGTATACTTACCTGGTGTACCCTAAACCTTAAAACCCTATGTATACCTACCTGGTTTACCCTAAAACCCTGAAACCCTAAGTATACCTACCTGGGTGACCCTAAAACCCTAAGTATACCGATCCGGTTTGCCCTAAACCCTAAAACACCAAGTATCATACCTCAACACTTCTAGCCGTCAAGAACTTAAGGATAACGTTCTTCAGGTACATGACATCAGGCGCGTCGGGGGTGGCTGTTCGATCTATTTGGTCGTCGTTGTCATGTCGTGGGGTCTGGGATGAGGAGATCATATCACGTCAATGTTTGTTAAGAGGATAGCTGAAGTATCAGCCTATCTATATATGTCCCGTAGGTGGGTATGGGTTGTATATCTAACTGAGTGGGGCCAGGTGCATGTCAAATGGACTAATACCGAGAGAGCCCTAGGCTGACGATCTTACAGGTAGATAAGTGGGCGGACAGGGACTGTGGGTGTTAATCACCGGTCCATTTTTTTTGGGTGGCGGAGGAGCCTATCTTGGGTGAAAGTACAGTGCCTAATGGTACCGAATTATCGCCGAATTCACATTTAGTGGAGCACATTACCTACACACACTTCAACACCCGGATATGTATACATAGACACCCATCCACCCACCCACTCACACTTCAACATACGGATATATATCCACAGACACAGACACACACTTGGACACTCGGATAGGTATACTTACACACACACACACTTAGACACTCGGATAGGTATACTCTCACACACACACACACACAACCGCATATGCGTGTACATGCACAACATGAAGTACTTGTGGTTTGTAGACAGGTGAGTATGTGTCGTCGTTTGGACCGCGCATCTGTGGTGAGGCTGGGTAGTTCAGCGACCCCGCCGAGTCCGTGCCGGGCAGATCCGGATAATTTACGCCATTCTGATTGGTAGAAGCACGCTATCGAAACCGCAAACAGAGTAAGATTAACCGCAAGGCCAGTAACATCAACCGCAGGGGGAGTACAAACACTCCAGAAATGGGAGCAGGAGCAGTACACGTGGACAACTACGCAACGAGGTGATATTCGTCGCTAAAGAGATAAAGCCTTTGAACAGTGGAGCTGGGTTCCCTATATGCTTGTGCGCTGTCTTGACTAAGGATGATTGTGGTGGGATACAAAGACCTGCACATGCTCTCACACACAACAAAAGACAAGTATATATTTAACCCTTTTTCTTTAAACAAAATTGAAGCATAGAAATAGCCCATGTACCCCGGGATATGCATAGCTGGGTGTTTAGAGGGCTGTGACGAGAGCAAATAAACACCTAGGGCGTACCGAACTATATATATCATGGCAACAGTAGACAGGTACATGTGCAAGGGAAGTAGCAGAGGAACATCCTAGCATAGCAACCAGGCCATACTCACACATACACATACCACATGCAAACAAACACTCAGGACTACCACACTATATATACCATGGCAACAGTAGACAGGTACATGTGCAAGGGAAGTAGCAGAGGAACATCCTAGCATAGCAACCATGCCATACGCACACATACACATACCACATGCTTGCTGAGGGTGCGTTTGAGATCTACCATCTTCTTCTTCAAGTTTCGTATCGTTTGCTGTTGGTAGGCCGTCTCCTCCAGGTGCTGTGTTTGCGCGTCTTGCAGCTCACGCCTTAGAGTGTCCAGCTACAACGTAACGATGCACACACAGGTTGTTGACGATCAGTTAAACGTATATATTATAAACCCTAAACCCTATATATCCACACGTGTTTGCGCGTCTTGCAGCTCACGCCTTAGAGTGTCCAGCTACAACGTAACGGTGTACACACAGGAGGTTGAAGATCAGTTAAACGTATAAATCTATAAACCTTAAACCCTATATATCTATTCACACGGGAAGGCGGAAGGGGTACGTTCAGATTGAGGTAGAAAAAGAGGACAAACCGGTCCAAAATTATATGGACCAGGGCATCTACGTATGACATATGATTCTTGCCTGTTCACAAAATATCTGCTACCATTCGAGTATAAGTAACACAACAGGAGAATACAGACTGATCAGGTATCCGTTAGATGTGTTAACTCTACATGTGCGTGTGCATCAAATAAGATACACATCACACACACTACCTGAACCATATAGTCGCACTGTAGTGATTAAGACAGGAAGTATATGCATGTGCACATGTGCATACATAAACACACACACACACGCCCACACATGCAATGCAACCTCACTAATAGTTGTGTGCCGAGCCTCCAGTGTAGACGTAGCGGTTGACTCCAGGCTTTGGATGATGTGTTCTTTCTCTTGTACTTCCGCTTGGAGGGCTTCTAATCGCTCTGCCATCTTCCTCACCTCTGTCTCTGTGTCCTTCTGATCGTTCTAATGCAGTGGGAACGAATACAGCACACACAGATACATGAGTAGCTGAGTATTGGGTTTACATATACATGAGCATATGATATGAACATACATGGGCTGTAGTATTTCAACATAGCGGTACAAAATTATAACACCACAACAATATGCAGTATAATATACATATATATATATATATAAATAATAGAAACCCTAAGCCCTAAACGCTAAAACCCTAGAACTCTATATATATATATATACGTATATACATACATACACACATACATACGCATACAAATACACACCCACACACATATATAT